AATGTGAAGAACTTTACTATATATATTATGAGAAGAAGGCAGAAGAAAATATAGAATTTTGGTATTAAATAATGTCCATTGCAATGAAATATTGTCCCCTAAGTGGACAGAATTTTAAAGCAAAAGTTATGAAATATGGTCCACCCACAGGACAATTTTTCATAGTAATTGTTACTAAATTGTGTCCTCAAAGGAAAATAATACTGAACTGCATCTGTTACTAATTGGAATTTAAATCATTATACATGTATATATATTAAAAAATATAAATAAGAAGATAAGGATGATACGAGTGCCAATGAGATAACTCTCTGTCAAAGTAACAATGTATTAAAAGTTAGCAATTATAGGTTAAAATATGTCCAGTAATAACAAGGCATTGGATATCATTTAATATCATTTAATACTTTAATCATATCAAAAAAGACCTGGCAGACATAATGTCCTGTGAAAAAATGTCCACCTGGACAGAATTATAGTATTAAATAATGTCCATGTTCATGGACACTTTTTCATACCTGAGGACATATTTTCATGGGAAATTGAGTCCTGGACACATTTTAATAAGTAAATATTGTCCATGGACAGTATTTAGGGTTAGGGTTAGGGGGACATTATTAAATCCTAGACTAACACTGGTTGTAACATGTGTCACAATATGACAAAAAAGTCATATCCTTAGGCACTAACACTGGTTGTAACATGTGTCACAATGTGACAAAAAAGTCATATCATTGGCCACTAACACTGGTTGTAACATGTGTCACAATGTGACAAAAAAGTCATATCATTGGCTACTAACACTGGTTGTATCAGGTGTCACAATATGACAAAAAAGTCATATCCTTAGGCACTAACACTGGTTGTAACATGTGTCACAATGTGACAAAAAAGTCATATCATGAGGCACTAACACTGGTTGTATCATGTGTCACAATGTGACAAAAAAGTCATATCATTGGGCACTAACACTGGTTGCATCATGTGTCACAATGTGACAAAAAAGTCATATCATTGGCCACTAACACTGGTTGTATCATGTGTCACAATGTGACAAAAAAGTCATATCATTGGCCACTAACACTGGTTGTATCATGTGTCACAATGTGACAAAAAGTCATATCATTGGGCACTTACACTGGTTGTATCATGTGTCACAATGTGTCAAAAAAGTCATATCATTGGCCACTAACACTGGTTGTATCATGTGTCACAATGTGACAAAAAGTCATATCATTGGCCACTAACACTGGTTGTAACATGTGTCACAATGTGACAAAAAAGTCATATCATTGGGCCCTAACACTGGTTGTAACATGTGTCACAATGTGACAAAAAAGTCATATCATTGGCCTCTAACACTGGTTGTATCATGTGTCACAATGTGACAAAAAAGTCATATCATTGGGCACTAACACTGGTTGTAACTTGTGTCACAATGTGAAAAAGAAGTCATATCATTGGGCACTTACACTTGTTGTATCATGTGTCACAATGTGACAAAAAAATCATATCATTGGCCACTAACACTGGTTGTATCATGTGTCACAATGTGACAAAAAAGTCATATCATTGGGCACTAACACTGGTTGTATCATGTGTCACAATGTGACCAAAAAGTCATATCATTGGGCACTAACACTGGTTGTAACATGTGTCACAATGTGACAAAAAAGTCATATCATTGGGCACTAACACTGGTTGTAACATGTGTCACAATGTGACAAAAAAGTCATATCATTGGGCACTAACACTGATTGTATCATGTGTCACAATGTGACAAAAAGTCATATCATTAGGCACTAACACTGGTTGTATCATGTGTCACAATGTGACAAAAAGTCATATCATTGGCCACTAACACTGATTGTATCATGTGTCACAATGTGACAAAAAGTCATATCATTGGCCACTAACACTGATTGTATCATGTGTCACAATGTGACAAAAAGTCATATCATTAGGCACTAACACTGGTTGTATCATGTGTCACAATGTGACAAAAAGTCATATCATTGGCCACTAACACTGATTGTATCATGTGTCACAATGTGACAAAAAGTCATATCATTAGGCACTAACACTGGTTGTATCATGTGTCACAATGTGACAAAAAGTCATATCATTGGCCACTAACACTGATTGTATCATGTGTCACAATGTGACAAAAAGTCATATCATTAGGCACTAACACTGGTTGTATCATGTGTCACAATGTGACAAAAAGTCATATCATTGGCCACTAACACTGATTGTATCATGTGTCACAATGTGCATAAAAGTCATATCATTGGGCACTAACACTGGTTGTAACATGTGTCACAATGTGACAAAAAAGTCATATCATTGGCCTCTAACACTGGTTGTATCATGTGTCACAATGTGACAAAAAAGTCATATCATTGGGCACTAACACTGGTTGTATCATGTGTCACAATGTGACAAAAAGTCATATCATTGGGCACTTACACTGGTTGTATCATGTGTCACAATGTGACAAAAAGTCATATCATTGGCCACTAACACTGATTGTATCATGTGTCACAATGTGCATAAAAGTCATATCATTAGGCACTAACACTGGTTGTATCATGTGTCACAATGTGACAAAAAGTCATATCATTGGCCACTAACACTGATTGTATCATGTGTCACAATGTGCATAAAAGTCATATCATTGGCCACTAACACTGGTTGTATTGAATAAACAGGAATTCCATGAAAATTATTACTTCACAAATAAAAGTACATTAATGATACTTTATACATGTATCTCAAAAAAAAAATAGTTGCTGCACTAATTTTGATATTGATCACAAAGAGATATGTCCTGGCTGCCACACAGATTGATCACAAAGATATATTTCCTGGCTGCAGCACAGATTGATCACAAAGAGATATGTCCTGGCTGCAGCACAGATTGATCACAAAGATATATGTTCTGGATGCAGCACAATTGTTCACAAAGAGATATGTCCTAGCTGCAGCACAGATTGATCACAAAGAGATATGTTCTGGATGCAGCACAGATTGATCACAAAGAGATAGGTCCTGGCTGCAGCACAATTGTTCACAAAGAGATATGTCCTGGCTGCAGCACAGAATGATCACAAAGAGATAGGTCTTGGCTGCAGCACAGATTGATCACAAAGAGATATGTCTTGGCTGCAGCACAGATTGATCACAAAGAGATAGGTCTTGGCTGCAGCACAGATTGATCACAAAGAGATAGGTCTTGGCTGCAGCACAGATTGATCACAAAGAGATATGTCCTGGCTGCAGCACAGATTGATCACAAAGAGATATGTCCTTGCTGCAGCACAGATTGATCACAAAGAGACATGTTCTGGATGCAGCACAGATTGATCACAAAGAGATAGGTCCTGGCTGCATCACAATTGTTCACAAAGAGATATGTCCTGGCTGCAGCACAGAATGATCACAAAGAGATAGGTCTTGCCTGCAGCACAGATTGATCACAAAGAGATATGTCTTGGCTGCAGCACAGATTGATCACAAAGAGATAGGTCTTGGCTGCAGCAAAAATTGATCACAAAGAGATAGGTCTTGGCTGCAGCACAGATTGATCACAAAGAGATAGATCCTTGCTGCAGCACAGATCGATCACAAAGAGATATGTCCTTGCTGCAGCACACATTGATCACAAAGAGATATGTCTTGGCTGCAGCCAATTAAAACAAAAATTTAATGGACATTTATAAAACAGCATAAATATGCGAGTTAATATCATTGATTTCTGAAAAATTATCTGAAAACTTACATTAAACAATGTAATTACGTAAAACTAATTGAATATGAATTCGATGTCTCAAATATCAATGGGTTTCTGTCAGTGTATCTTTTGAAATACACAAAATCTGTTTTAAATAAATGGAGAATGTGTCCATGGGACACAGATGATGCCCCCACCTGAATATAACGTTATAAAGGAACATAACTCAAGAACGATAAAAGTGACACTACCCAAATTCGAACTTGATCTGAGTTTTGTGGTAATAATCATTGCGTATAAGTTTCATAACATTTGGTTGAGGCAAACTTAAGTTAGAGAACGGAAACACAAATTCAGCAATTTTTCCATTTGTAAAGGAGCATATATATAACTTTAGAACGGTAAAAGTGACGCCACCAAATTCAAACTTGATCTGTATTTTGTGGTAATAAGCATTGTGTATAAGTTTCATAACATTTGTTTGAGGCAAACTAAAGTTAGAGAATGGAAACTAATTTTGGGACATACGTACTGACTGACGTACAGACGGACAAGGGTAACACTTAATGCCCCATCCGCTGCATCGGGGGCATAAAAAATTGATTTTCAACAATATAAAATATCTACAACCCCTGATGCATGATAAATAGGAATAACCATGCATGAGATTTCTCTTTGAGAAAGTAGGAGGGGATGTCATTGCTAATTTCAGTAAAAAAAAAACAACACTGAATCCTAAATTTCCCCCCAAAATAAACCATTTTTTCCGTTTCCAAAAAATAAATGAATAATTCCCAAGTCCCAATAAATGCAAACTCAAAGGCCTATTCTGGACGTCCCAAAAAAGTATCTACCGTCCCTCATCTTTGGTTAGAAACTCAAATGCACGGACATTAATGTAGTAGCATACCAATTGCAAATATCAATGGCTTATTTAAGACTTTAATATATACAATTCTCAGAAATACTTCCATTTAAACCCCCATCTGTTGACAATACAAGCATTGCCTAACATGATTGGGGTTCAAAAACAAGTCCTGTGCCTGAGGATTCTCATATTGTTTGCATGCATTCATGATGCACAGGTACTAAAACAACTGTAAAACAAAGTTATCATAAGTACATATTCTGAATCTAACCTTAATATAATAAGATGATGCAACAAGATGTATTGATAATACTGTCTCAATATGAGACAAAAACACAATTTGTCAATTTATGTATCGAGATAAACAATGTAGTGTAAATTGGTTTGAAAATGACTTACAGATATGATTTTTGAGGCATTTTATCAGGTTGGATGAGAGGATTAAATATAGGTATAGAGACATCAAATGTTCTACGGTAAGACCAGGTAGAAAATCCCCCTCCAGCAATGACAGCTTTTCCTGTATCCACCTCCAGCACAGTACTGTAATCTGGGGAACCACCAGGTAACATGTTGAACAGGAGATGATTATTACCATTATTCCACCTTAAAGTAGACAATATCAAACAATAATTTACCATGACAACAAGGTAGCAGCAGGTGATTCAAATAAATTGTTAACACAAAGATATATCTTGCTTTGAAAATGAGATGACTTCAATTTTCTCACTTTCCATTTTTATTGAGTGTATATCTCCCAGTTGATAGGTTTTGGTTAGGCTCTTGTCACTTAATCTTAAGTTTTCTGTGTATTATTTGTTTGTCTTTTTTCATTTGGGTTGGTTTTGTTAGCCCTTTTTCAACTTTTGTTCGCTTTTGATTATCCCATTGTATCTTCTTTCTTTTTTTATACACTAGTAACCATAACAACATATTACACAGAAATTATTGTCACCTTTATTGAACCTGTCAACAGAGAAAACATTAGATGACATGTGTTTTGTAATCAATTATCATTATAACAAGTTTAACAGATGATTATCATGGAAATTCCAACCACCAATGGAAAAATACACTTCATATATGTAAAATCTGATTATCTGTAAATTTTTAAAAGTGTGCAACTAAACAGTCATGACAGTACAAAATGTATAAGTGTGAAACTAAACAGTCATGACAGTACAAAATGCATAAATGTGCAACTAAACAGTCATGACAGTACAAAATGTATAACTGTGCAACTAAACAGTCATGACAGTACAAAATGTATAAGTGTGCAACTAAATAGTCATGACAGTACAAAATGTATTGAAATGTTAATATGGTTAAGAACATCTACTGACAGTAAACACAAGCCTCCAACCCACCCACCATATACATACCATGGCAATGAAGCTAGTATTTGTCCAACTTCTCGCAATCTGATGCTATTCTGGTTCAAAAGGTCAACAGAAGGAACTAACAAGCAGGCCATATCTGGATCATTTGTATAATAAGGACTGTCAGCGATGGCTTCTAGCATTTCATAAAACTCCTTGGATACTGGCAAAGTGACGGCATTACCTGCCTGGTCCACATACTGATTGACAGGATAAATATACACACTAATTCTTGTCTTGTCATTGTATCCACAGTGGTATACATCAAAGCATGTATGGTAGGTACATCGGGTGTCTCGAGGGGAAGCACCCGGGCTTGACGTTGTTAGTTCTAATTTTTTACTGTTTTCAGATCTAAGAAACAAATGCTTTGGATCACTAATATCTTCACTGAATGAGTATGACCAAAAACTGAAACCTATTACCGCAACTACCAAAGCTCCAATCAAAATCATAAGTAGGAGGGGCTTGAACTTCATCCTGATTTCCATTGGTTAATGACTTATTATCCATTCCATTTCAGCTTATCACCAATTATTTTTTTGACTGAAAAACATATTTTCAACAATTAAGTTTAATGATTAAGGTAGAAAAAACAAATGTATATTCATTTATTCCACAGTGTAGAGGTGCAGCTGCTTAAAATAATAAAATACTATGGATAAAAATCTTGTTAATCATTCTGGGTAAATCAATGAATTCCACCTCTCCATTTGGCCATTAAAGACTGAACTTATAAAGGATATTACCGGAAACTAAATGTTGAAAAACATTACTCAGAGTAAGATTATTAAATAAAAACCTCTCTAAGTTTTAGATTGTTTTATGAATAACGTTTCTATCATGTTTATTGTATTCCAATTTTGTTGTCATTTAGTGAAACATTCTTAGTCTCTGATTAATCATAATTCTTCATATATAAAAACAGAAAGTTATTTAAAGCATCTTCTGAGTAGTGATTCAGCCTATTATTTAACTATCGGAATTTTTTCTGATCCCATTTTCAATACATGTTTATGTATAGCAACTCCTGTAAAATATTTCAAGACAGCCATCAAAACATTGGATTTATAAGTGAGTTTGACCCAACATATTTATGTGTTCAGTAAGTAATTTTTATTCAAACTTCTTCATTGGGAAATACATGGGGAATGTGTCCATAGGACACAGATGATGCCCCCGCTTGCATATAACGTTATAAAGGGACATAACTCAAGAAGGGTAAAGTGATGCTACCCAAATTTGTACTTGATCTGAGTTTTGTGGTAATAAATATTGTGTATATGTTTCATAACATTTGGTTGAGGCAACCTAAAGTTAGAGAAAGGAAATGAAAAATTCATCAATTTTTCCGTTTGTAAAGGGCTTAACTCTAGAACGGTAAAAGTGATGCCACCAAAATTCAAACTTGATCTGTATTTTGTGGTAAAAAGCATTGTGTATATGTTTCATAACATTTGGTTGAGGCAAACTAAAGTAAGGGAACGGAAACGAAAAATTTAGCAATTTTTCCATTTGTAAAGGGGTATAACTCTAGAATGGTACAAGTGATGCCACCAAAATTCAAACTTGATCTGTGTTTTGTGGTAATAAGCATTGTGTATAAGTTTCATAACATTTTGTTGAGGCAAACTAAAATTACAATTTTGGGACATACGGACGTACAGACGGACAAGGGTAAAACTTAATGTCCCCTCCACTACGGCATAAAAATACATTTCCTGAATCAAATTTACATGTACAAATACCTTACAAAAGTATACTGTTATTAAATAGCATTATAATTGGGAATAAAAAAATAATTTTATTTGCAGAAAATTCTCAGGTTTGTGCTATGTAATTTTTTTTATTGTGTCAAGAAAATTATTGATAATTCTCACTTAAATCATTGACTAATTTCAGATGATTAGACCTTGCTTGCATTTTCTTGTTCAAATTTATTTTTATTTTTTTTTTTCATTGAAAAAAAAATACACCTCATTAATCCTTAATAATTAATCATTGGCACATAATTTACATAATAAAAGTATGCAGTGTAGATCAAATTATTTTTATAAGTATAGTATTGAGGTCATGAATTGTTGATAAAAGTTGGTGTATTTGGCTGTTTAATTAACTATGTAATACAAGATCTATTAACTGTGTTAGTGTTTCTAACTAATACTTCCACCCTTGAAAGTAATTGTTTTTAAATCATGACAGCTGTCAATCATACTAGTAGTACTGTATCAGTACTCTTTATTTGGAAGGAATTGAAATAATAGTATTTTAACAAGAGGTTCTCAAGAGCCTGAATCGCTCACCTGTATTTCAGAGGAGAAGATTTTTAAATGTTAGCAAACTTGATGTACAAATTGTGTAAAATTGTCTTTAATGGGCAATAACTCCTTAAGGGGTCAATTGACAATTTTGGTCATATTAACTTTTTAGTAGATCTTACTTTGCTGAACATTATTGCTGCTTACAGTTTATATATATCCATAATAATATTCAAAATAATAACAAAAAAACTGCAAAATTTTGTTATAACTACCAATTTGGTGGCAGCAACCCAACAATGGGTTGTTCAATTCGTCTGATAATTTCAGGGCCGATAGATCCTGACCAATTAAACAATTTTACCCCATGTCACATTTGCTCTAAAAGATTTAGTTTTTGAGATATAAGCCAAAAACTGCATTTGACCCTTATGTTCGATTTTTAGCCATGGCGGCCATGTTTGTCGATGGATACAAACTTCGGATACAATTTATAAACAAGATACCCTAAGGAACATTAAGTTAAAGTTTGAAGGTAATTGGCCCAGTAGTTTCAGAGGAGAAGATTTTTAAATGTTAGCAAACTTGGTGAACAAATTGTATAAAATTGTCTTTAAAGGGCAATAACTCCTTAAGGGGTCAATTGACAATTATGGTCATATTAACTTTTTTGTAGATCTTACTTTGCTGAACATTATTGCTGCTTACAGTTTATATATATCTATAATAATATTCAAAATAATAACAAATAAAATGCTTCGCTGGGGCGCAGCTTGATACGACCGCAGAGGTCGAACCCTGAACAGTTGGGGCAAGTATGGACACAACATTCAAGCTTGATACAGCTCTGAATTTGGATTGTTATTAAATATTTGACACAGCATAGGTTTCTGACACAGAAAGAATGTGGTCTAAGAACTTGAATTTTTTTAATTTACCTATTATGGTCCAATGTCCAAAATCAAAATACATGGTTAGATTCAGCATATCAAAGAACCCCATATATTCAATTTTTGTTAAAATCAAACAAAGTTTAATTTTTGACCCCAACTTGGACAAACTTGAAAACTGGGCCCATAATAAAAAATCTAAACATATGTTTAGATTCAGCATATCAAAGAACCCCAAGAAATCAATTTTTGCTAAAATCAAACTAAGTTTAATTTTGGACCCTTTGGACCTTAATGTAGACCAATTTAAAAAACAGGACTTAAAATTAAAAATCTAAATACACGGTTAGATTTGGAATATCAAAGAACCCCAATAATTCAATTTTTGATGAAATCAAACAAAGTTTAATTTTGGACCCTTTTGACCTCAATATGAACCAATTTGATAGCGGGGCCCACAAATAAAAAATCTAAATTCATGGTTAGATTCAGCATATCAAAGAACCCCATATATTCAATTTTTGTTGAAATCAAAAAAAGTTTAATTTTGGACCCCAACTTGGACCAACTTGAAAACTGGGCCCATAATCAAAAATCTAAACACATGTTTAGATTCAGCATATCAAAGAACCCCAAGAATTCAATTTTTTTTAAAATCAAACTAAGTTTAATTTTGGACCCTTTGGACCTCAATGAAGACCAATTTAAAAAACGGGACCCAAATTAAATATCTAAAAACACGGTTAGATTTGGCATATCAAAGAACCCCAATAATTCAATTTTTGATGAAATCAAACAAAGTTTAATTTTGGACCCTTTTGACTTCAATATGAACCAATTTGATAGCGGGGCCTACAAATAAAAAATCTAAATACATGGTTAGATTCAGCATATCAAAGAACCTCATATATTCAATTTTTGTTGAAATCAAACAAAGTTTAATTTTGGACCCCAATTTGGACCAACTTGAAAACTGGGCCCATAATCAAAAATCTAAATACATGTTTAGATTCAGCATATCAAAGAACCCCATATATTCAATTTTTGTTGAAATCAAACAAAGTTTAAATACTGGACCCTATCTTGGACCAACTTGAAAACTGGGCCCATAATCAAAAATCTAAACACATGTTTAGATTCAGCATATCAAAGAACCCCAAGAATTCAATTTTTGTTAAAATCAAACTAAGTTTAATTTTGGACCCTTTGGACCTTAATGTAGACCAATTTAAAAAAAAGGACCCAAAATTAAAAATCTAAATACACGGTTAGATTTGGAATATCAAAGAGCCCCAATAATTCAATTTTAGATGAAATCAAACAAAGTTTAATTTTGGACCCTTTTGACCTCAATATGAACCAATTTGATAACGGGGTCCACAAATAAAAAATCTAAATACATGGTTAGATTCAGCATATCAAAGAACCCCATATATTCAATTTTTGTTGAAATCAAACAAAGTTTAATTTTGGACCCCAATTTGGACCAACTTGAAAACTGGGCCAAAAATCAAAAATCTAAATACATGTTTAGATTCAGCATATCAAAGAACCTCATATATCAAATTTTTGCTAAAATCAAACAAAGTTTAATTTTGGACCCTTTGGACCTTAATGTAGACTATTTTGAAAACTGGACCCAAAATTAGAAATCTAAATACACTGTTAGATTCGGCATAACAAATAAATAAATGTGATCAAAGATTTTACAAATCTAATGTGCCATACTGTGCAATTAAAGATTACTTCTTGAAATTTTTCAATATTTGAAATTTGAAAAAAAAATAATATTTGAAGAATAATTCTTTTTAATTTCTGAAATCTGAAATGAGAAAAAATTGACCCCCCACAATTTCTTTTTATCCCCCCCCCCCCCCCCCCCCCCCCATTTTTTCCCCAAAAAATTCTTTCCCTCAAGATATGGTCATAATCTCAATTCAAATTTCCAATGGAGTTGGCAACCATAATTACCCATTTAATTTTACCATAGTGCTAACTTAATCTATTTTATAAAAGAATTAAAAATATAGTGTCAAATCTTTCATATAGATTTTTTTGTAAAATAAAATGATGCAACATTTGCAGATATTTTTACTGGTCTTCCTTTATAAATATGCATTTCTTTAAACATAATTTAAAAGCAGTGTAAGGGAAGTAACCAAAACGTTGTATTTGGATTACCTCCCTTACACTGTTTTAAATTATCTTTATTGTTCATTAACCATTACTTTATACATAATTTAAAAGCAGTGTAAGGGAGATAATTTCAATGATGTATTTGATTTATCTCCCTTACACTGCTTTAAATTATGTTTTGTACTAAAGTATTTGTCCATTAACCAGGACAACCTTGTTTTTCCCCCTTTTTTGCCCCTAATTCCTAAACGGTTTGAGCCATAACCCCCCAAAGCAAATCCTAACCATCCCTTTGTGGTATGGAAACTTGTAGTATAATTTCAGAGAGATCCATACACTGTTCCAAAGTTATTGTCTGGAAACTAGAAAATGCTTATTTTTGGCCCCTTTTTGGCCCCTAATTCCTTAACTGTTGGTACCATAACCCCCAAAATCAATCCCAACCTTCCTTTTGTGGTATTTAACCTTATGGTAAAATTTCAAAAAGATCCATTCACTTAAACTAAAGTTAGAGTGCGAAAACCAATGTGTATTCGGACGACGACGCAGGACGACGACGATGCCGGACGACGACGATGCCGGACGACGACGACGACGACGATGCCAACGTCATACCAATATACGACCACAAAAATTTTTTTGCGGTCGTATAAAAACTGCAAAAATTTGTTAAAACTACCAATTCGGTGGCAGCAATCCAACAACGGGTTGTTCGATTCGTCTGAAAATTTCAGAGCTGATAGTTCTTGACCAATTGAACAATTTTACCCCATGTCACATTTGCTCTAAAAGCTTTAGTTTTTGAGATATAAGCCAAAAACTGCATTTGACCACTATGTTCTATTTTTAGCCATGGTGGCCATGTTTGTCGATGGATCAAAACTTCGGATACAATTTATAAACTAGATACCCTAAGGAACATTTAGTTAAAGGTTGAAGGTATTTGGCCCAGTTGTTTCAGAGGAGAAGATTTTTTAAATAGTTTACGACGACGACGACAGAAGACGGACGCCAAGTGATGGCATAAGCTCACATGGGCCCTTCGGGCCCCGGTGAGCTAAAAAAGTGAGAGAATGAACTTTGATATCAATACACAGTTTGTGCCAAATTTCATTCTATTACTTACACAAGCATAAGGGTTAGAGTTGTTCAGGATTGAGTCATCATTTGACAGTTCAATGTATAGTTTGTTCTTACACCACTGTCCCAGGCCCCAGCCTGCAATCATTTTTAACCTTGCCTCATTCTGAATGTGCCTGCCCAAAGTCAGGATCCTGTAATTCAGTAGTTGTAGTTTGTTGCTGTATATCATATTTGTTTTTTTTCTCATTATTGTTAAATTGTTTATAAAGCAGGCCGTTAGTTTTTAGCTTGCTATGCAATATGGATTTTGTTCATTGTTGAAGGCTGCAGGGTGATATATAGTAGCTAAATTGTACTTCATTTGGTTTCTCATGGAGAGTTGTACATCTCAATGGCACATCCACTAATTATTTTTTAAATAGTTGTAGATCTGTGATGTCCAGTAATGACTTATCATGGAGAGTTGTACATCTCATTGGCAATCAAACCACATCCGCTAATCATTTTTTTATATAGTTGTAGATCTGTGATGTCCAGCAATGACAGACTTATAGTGATTAGGTGTAATAATATATACATGCAAGATTGATTAGATGTCATGGTTTATTAACTTGTTATCTTAGGGGATTTTTGTTTGTTTGTAAATTTATATACATGATATATTGAATAATGATTATGTAGGTACATGAATTCCCCCATTATTTGAAGCACCCATAAAGAGCTGCAATGGTACTGTGAAATCCATGTTCACTCCATACATGCCATATACATGTAAGCATTAATGGATATGTGTCACCAACTTATACACAACCCACCACCAGGGACAATCCCCAACCTAACACTATGGGAGTATTAGGACACAGGGATGTCTGTTATTGCGGTGAAGGAAGCCAAAGTACTCAGAAAGAACCACTGGGTTACTCAGAATGAACAGAGAATTTTAAATTTAACATTATATTTATTATAAAATTGAGAATGGAAATGGGGAATGTCAAAGAGACAACAACCCGACCAAAGAGCAGACAACAGCCGAAGGCCACCAATGGGCCTTATACATGTACATGTATAGTATATATGTCTCTATTTATCAAGATCTAAAAAGACATAACGAATTTTCAGAGGATAGGCGGCAACACAGATGAAACCTTAGAAGCGGCATTGTTGTTCCTGTCAATATAATACTTCCATGCATATACTAACAGATAATCCCCAAATTAATGGTTATTTATACCTGGGAACAGTATAATAATGTTCCTATTTATACTGACAAGTGACATGTTTGTCCCATGTGGACCCTTTAATTGGCAATACAATTCTTTATTCTTGCCGACGAACTGCTTATGACATCACTTCATCCCCATATATGAAGCAGTCAGTTCAATTCAGAAAGTTTTACCTGAACATAATTATCTCAAACGTAAAAACATTTTTTTACAGACATTCATTCCTGAGATCAATGTTTACAAACTCCACTTCCGGTTGATGATTTCTTCCAATGAAAATCGTTGTTACAAAACTAAAACGGGCACCTGCAGAAGCATCGTCTGTCATATTTCTAGCAGAGGATTTTTAGGAAACTATATTAATTACATAGAAATATCACATAAAAATAAACATTAGCACACATGTTGTGGTCAGAAGAAATTTGCAATGCCAGGGATAGTATTATTTCAGAGGAGGTGGTCGTTTGGATCAGATGATTTAGTAGTCCCAGCTGTAGTGCTGTTGTTTATGCACATTGCATGGTAAGATTATTGACAAAGTTACTCAGATTATCAAAATATTGGAAAATACTAAAATTCTTCAAATGGATTCGATGTAGTGCAAAACAACTTAAGCATTTGTATAATAAGTGAATCAGTAGAATTAAGCTTCCATTCCAACTGTTGTGTATTGAGAGTATAAACAACAGATGGTAGCTATAACTAATCACCTTAATTAAATTGTTCTGTGGTTATTAACTTATGATGCATTGTGTTAATGGTAGGTTATACCATAGGACATATATAATTGTATATAGTTCATGTAGTTATTCCCAGGTTATTGCATTGCTGATTGAACCTGTAATTTGGGATGCATATGTCTGTCTTATTTGCTCTGTTCCATGGGTGACAAATTTGTATTTTCATACTTGTATTGGTTACCTGTAAACATTACACACAGTCCCCCAAACTGTCTAGAAAAAAAAAACAGTCTTTGAAATACATGTATCACATATTTTTTTTTATAGCTTCCCGACGATCTTTGAGATGCCCAGGCCCTATACCTTTTTTATTGTTAGAATTTCCAATTCCTGTGCATGTATATATACTTACATACCTGACATGCATGATGTAACATGTACCATGCATTGTATGCTGAATGTGGATTGTATTCACCTGAAACAAAAATCTGGTATATATTGAATGTAGAAATGTATATACAGATATTGGATGTGTATCAAAGGAGACCCCAATCTAAAATAACAACACATAAAAGGAAATAAAATATACATTTAGACATGTTTACATGATACACTTGTGAATACATCATTACAGTCTGCAGTAATGATTTTCAGTCCTGTAAATTACTATATATAAGTGCAATAGATGTCTTGGGATTTTGTTTCATAGATTTGCAGACATGCAGACAGTAGACCCATGTTCACTATATGTAAATTTATTTTCTATTTGATTTTTTAAGTAAGTTTGAAACAAGTTTATGATCTACATGTATAAGCTCAACATTTCGTTAAAATCATCCTGGTTGGCCGCTTGAAGACTGCCATATATCAATTTTCGATTTATTGTTTTATTCCTTTTATTCCATAGACAATGATAGAGGAATCAGTTCATTGGTTCATTTTACATCAAATTGCAGATTTTTTTCATTTTTTTAATCACATACTAATACAGCATACAACATGTATCATGTCACATAAATATTTGATATAAGGATTTACTCTAGCTTGAGATGTTCATGTATTATAACTTAAATGGATTTAAGATAAGTCATGATAGAAATCAATACCACAGATTGGTGTGAAATATAAAGAGTTAAGTTTTTTTGTGATAACAACACCTGTTTCACAGAAGATCAATAAGAAATAATCTATTGTAAACTTAATTGTACATTTATAACATACATTGTACCTTCAGAAGGTTATATTTTTCACTTCATTGTTTTAAATATGTTCTAATATAGACATCATCATTTATCCCTGATTATATATTATTGACACTTTAAATAATACATAAACATATATTTAAATGACACTCTGGTTCATATTTCAATGAATTTGGACAAATCATTTATATAGTGTAACATTTCTAAAAAAGAACATCATTTTTGTTCATTCATGACATGCATATAATTGTGTAGCAGGAGCAATTCTGGTTGAGATTCAGGGATGCAGACCACAGCTTGTTCTAGTTTGTGAACTGATTTAAACGGGGACGATGGATGCCAAATGTAAAAGTGCTATTTAAATATTTAGGTGAATGAAACCAGTGAAACAGTGAAAACAATATATAATTTATTCATCAAGTACAACTTTTATCATGAAATCTAAATATAAAGAAATGGAACATTCAAAGACTTCATTATTACCCTTATAGAGTTGGCAAGTGACAGATGCACTAATAACCTTAAAGGGAGATTTGGAAATGCACAGCTTTTCTAATTGGACTGAACATCAGCCCTCAGACAATTTGACATAATAATTCCAAACCGGTTATATGAAATGTTAAAGTGTGTCAAAGAAGGTTATAAATGATTTGCAAAGATGCAAATTCTAAACTTTAGAATATAAATAAATATCTTGAACCAATGATTCAAAATACCAATATATCTATTCTGCCACTATTGGTTAGATTACTTTTGTCCTACACTTGATGTGTGCTTCAGTTCACTTTTATCGTTTTCTACCTGAGACTTGGACACACAAAAAATGTCTTATCATTTAGAAATTGTAGATATAAATAATTAAATCATATTTGAAATTGAATTCTTATACATTTAGCAAATAATTTGGGGAAGAGTCCCATCTGAAAACTCTGAATGTATGTAACAATATATCAGTAAACAGGAAACCATTTTTCCTATATATTACAATGCTAAATAGGATTCCAAAAAAGTTTTTTATTAATCTTCTTGCTCAAAAAGGTGCCAATGGCATTTAATTTCCATGCTATTTGCATTTGTTTTGAAACCACTTTATTAATGTCCATTCAGCACTGAATTGATTCAAACTCTCAAATTTGATTTAAAACAATTATTAAAACATATATACATGTACATCAGAATTTCAAAAGTTTCACAATGAATAATAAACAATGCATGAAATTGTGAAAGTTTCAACATATTGGGATGCACTTACATTAATATGCCATCTATTATTAACCATTTACATTCCAAGATTGCAGGTAGGCATGTTAGCACAATATAAACTGATGGATATAAATAGCACATGCGATATAATAGTATAATATATGTAACTTATATATATATATATATATTTGATTAAAAAAAAAAAATGAAATAAATGTTCATCGTTTATCCTGTAACCTGTTAAAGAATGATCTGCATGCAGTCAACAAAATCAGTCTCACTGTTGGACAATTAAATTTCACTAGCCAAGGTAACATCAAGGCCGTAACTACCATTGAGGCAAGTGAGGCAATTGCCTCACTAAAATTTCGACACTGATTTTTTTTTGCGTATTTGTTTATGGTAATTAAATACGAAATATAGTCATTTGTTTTTTCTGTCTCAACCTTAATTTCTATAAATTGACATCGTTCCTTTTAAATTATTTTTCCCCGGAAATAACTCAGCATCTCAGTCACCGCTTGATGTTTCTCGATTACATTAACCTAGTAACCGGTAATCATCATGGATCTCTGTTAAAAACGGGCTCTTGCAGAAAAAGGAAAAGCGATACTGAAGGTGAGGAAGGAGAAATTCTAGTTGTTATTTGTGATCACAACAGGTGTTAAGAGTTCCAGTATTGAATATATTTTCATTGGAACTAATCAAAAAATTATAAATAGACTGACAAGTTACTGGAGCACCGCACGGTAGCAGTCCTGTCTGAGTATTCATTTCCCCTTTTTCCCCCCAACTTCATTCAATCTTAAAATTTGAAAGAACATCCTGTAATCCAATTTTGACATTATTGAGGGACGGTAGGACCTTTAAACAGGATTTCGTGTTTTCTAAATCGGGACTACGTACAGGATTTCGTGTCTTTCAATTCGGGATTTCAGGATCGGACCCCCTCCTACCCCCCTCATTATTCGATTGCCGATCTAAAATATCTTATCACTGACTATTTCCAGAAATAATCTTAAATCATGGACCTACATGTAAACGACGAAAACTCCAGTCCAATTTCCCTGTATCAAGAAAAAAACCACTAAAAAATCAATATTCCTAGAATAACATAAAACGATATACGGTAGATAAATCCAATTTCCCGTAACAATAACAGTAAAAGGTGGCATATGACAAAAATGAACTAAAAATAATATTCCTAAAATAACATAAAAAGACATAGGGGGTAAAAGCTGAAAATTGATATTTAGCTCCGTCTGCAATAAAACGGTTTGAAATCAAACTTTGACATCTTCAATCTATGCAATGATGCCAAGCTCTCTGGAAATGCCCAGAATGCAGGATTTTACATCATTTATCCTAGACCCCCTACCGAAATTTTTGGATCTTTATGAGGATAAATTATTATATATATTAATTATAATTTTGGCCTTAGTTTGACAGAATTGAACAAAACTGATTGCTATACATGTTTAATGGATAAATCATTCAATATTTCATTCTTGCAATTTTTGAATTTTTGGTTTAAATATTTCAACTTAAACTGTCAAAATCAAATTGTTGTTACGACCCTGTAATTTGGTTAGGCTCTGTACATACTTGAAAGCATGCTAAAAAAATTCTTAGTCACATTTGAAAAAAGATGAATAACCTCCAAAACATTGAACCAACATGGTTAAACTACAGTAGGTTTCAAAAACCCAAACTCAAATTTTTTAAAAGGTTTCATTAAAGCTCTTTTGCAATTACTTTTCAGTTGCTAAAACACCATACACTATCTTGAATCTAATATAGACATGTGTTTATGTTTTTCAGTATTGACTCCTTAGGGTCTGGGGTAGAGAAAAAAAATAGATATTTAATGCTTTTAAAATATTATATAAACCTCATAACATTTTTCAATGATAAAAGATAAAGTTAAGGATTATCTTCTGTCACCTGTTTAAAGAGCACCTTTTTATTTTCTGTCTATGATCATGATGATAGTATGGAGCATATTGTTCTAGTTTGGAAGTCAGTCAGTGAGTCTATATGGTGTCAGTTTAAACTTTTATGCCCCACCTAGGGGCATTATGTTTTTCAGTCTGTGCGTCAGTTTGTCCATCCGTCTGTCCCGCTTCAGGTTAAAGTTTTTGGTCAAGGTGATTTTTGATGAAATTGAAGTCCAATCAACTTGAAACTTAGTTACATGTTCCCTATGATATGATCTTTCTAATTTTAATGCCAAATTAGAGTTTTGACCCCAATTTCACAGTCCACTGAACATAGAAAATGATTATAAGTGTGAGTGGGGCATCGGTGTACTATGAACACATTCTTGTTGTTTAAGGGAGTTTACCATGAAGTTATAGTAACTTGAACCTTAATATTATACATTGTAATGTGAACTTTTAAGATAACCAAATTATGGTTTTGACCTAGAGCGGGTATT